CCCGGGGCTCGCCGCTACGCCTGCGGCAAGATCTGAAGAGTGGCAAAGGCTGAGGGAAGAGAAACCCTGGGGAAAGCAGGTTTTACAGTTTCTCACGCCTGGGGAAAGGCAGGGAGACTAATGCTGGCCAAAGCCCAGCTGCTAGGAAACCCTCACCAGAGGCAAAAACCATCAGCTGTGTGGCATCAGAGCCAAGCATCAGCTCCCTTCTGCTCCGAGCTGGCCAGGGCAGCCTCGTCCCCACTGGGAACAGACTAGTAACGCACTGCCAAGGAGTTGGAGAAACCTTCCATCTGGGAGACAGGGTTACAGGACAAGGAATGCAGCCTGCAGCCCTCAAAGAGCTGTCCCCAAAAGTGGCCTGTTAGCCAGGGGAGAGAGAAAAAGAGAATGAAGGGGATCACGGGAGGAAGGGAGTCAGCATGGGAAGATGAAGGGACGATGAAGGGAGAGCATTTATTGCCATTTGGATGAAGAGAGGACAGGAGAAGGCAAAAATCAATCACCATGGGGTTGGAGTCTGAGATGAGGTCTTTAAGGGTGTCCAGGAAGCCCTGGTCCTCCACCAGCTGGGCGTTGATGTCGTGGAGCTTTGCCACGCAGACGGCTGCCGTCTTGCGCACGTAAGGGTCCTCGTCCTTCAGGCACTTCCGCAGGGGCTCACAGAGATACTCCGTGATCTTGTCCACGCGGATGCAGCCCATGGTCCGCACAGCCAGAGCCCGGATCAGAGGGTTTGGGTCCTCGCAGTCCTGCGGGGATGAGAGAGGGAGGTTAGATTTCCAGGGCCACTTCTCCTTCAATCACAGTGGTGGCTTCGGGACCTTCATTCCCGTTTGGGTACCTGAAGTCTAGAGGTTTTAACACTCGGCTCTCGAGAACAAGTCACCCAAGACAGAGGTTTGATCTCTTGTTCTGCAATCTGGCACCCACAAAGTTTTAACACCATCAGTTCTCACTCCAAACACACCTCCAGGAACCTGACATCTTCGTCACTTACACCACGTGCCTGAAGCCTGCTGCCACCCTGCAGAACGGCCACCTCACCTGGGAAACGCATCTGTTGGGTTTATTGTGGGGGTTTTTTTTCCTTCCTAAAAAGCCAAAACTCCCTCTAATGCCCACCAGGCCTTTTCACAAAGTGCTTTGCCAGTATCTCGGCTCCTGACAAACATGCTCCTCAGTTCCCAACTCCAACTGGAAGATCACGAGGGCTTTCTCAGCTGCAGGGAACTTTAGTGTGAAAGCTCACATGACAGCAGTTCGATCACGGGAGCTGCCCACAACCAAAGCTGCCACCGACAGAGCAAGTGGCACAGTACAGCTGCCAAGAAAATGTTTTTCTTCTGCATTACTGGACAAATTTGCTCAGTTATCTAGAGCTAGGGGAGCTCCAGCTCCTCCTGAAGGGAGAGGCTTTGGAAACCTGCCCATGCTTCCTTCTTTGGAGCGGGGTACATAGCAGCTCAGCACGGTGGTCTCGCATGAAAGCGGGGATGCACGTGGTGGGCTGAGCCCACTCGCTGCGGTGCGCGGCTCTCGGGCACGCGGGCCTCTCCTCTCACCTTCACGAAGGTGTTGACTGCCATGATGGCCATATCTGGCTGGCTCTTGGCGTAGTTCATCAGGTAGAGGTAGACCAGCTTCTTCAGCTCCAGGTTGTCTGTCTGCATGCAGTTCACCACGTCGGGGAAGAGAGCGCTGAAATGCAAAGCACCTCTGTGAAGGCAGGATCCGGCCACGCTGCTGAGCCGGGGGAAGGAGACGCCGCTGCCTATGTGACCCCACGCTTCCCAGGTCCACGCTCATCCCCTTGCCATAGCTCAACCTGTTCCTGAAGCCAGAAGACCCCAGGCTCTCCCACGACCTGAGCCCGCCCTGCAGCAGATGTGGCTAAATCTGCCACCCTCAGTAGGTTTTTCTTTAGGGATCAGTACCAACAGCAGCTCAAAACAGCCTCTTACGGACCAAAACTGAGCTCTCCCACATGGCTCTGCTATATCTCAGCTCCAGTACGTGCCCACTACCCTGGGAGAAGGTGCAACATCACCTAGCCCTACCAAAACCATCCTCTGCTTTTGCAGATGTTAAACCTGTCCTGCTGCAAACTTGTGAGCGTTCACCCCACGTCCTACATGAAAAACATCACGTTAGAGAAGCAAATGGCCCGGACTGGGTGTGAGGAACAGCCCCGCTCCCCAGGGTGAGCCCTGCAGCAGAATGATGCTCTGCTAGGATGGAGGGGAGCTGCCAAGCTGCCTGCACGGAGCTGGGGGCTTCCCCTTCCCAAACCTGGCCCCAGCCAGTACTAAACACCCCGAAGATGCGGGATGCCCGAGACGCTGCTTCACCACAGACGATAAAGACTATTAAAGATACAGACAGCCCAATTAGATTATTGAACCACCTTAGGAGAGGCAATCAAGATCAGAGGGGAGCTATCACACCCTGACAGATGTCCCTTGGCTCCTGGAAGCCTCTCCGCCACCGCAAACCCAGCCACGGGCTAAAAGGATCAAACCCGGGCCCCCCTGGATCCCGGGAATTGCACATTGCCAGCTCCCTTGCAGAGCTCCTGCTGCTGGCAGAACCCACCTCAGCTGCTCTCAGCCCAGGCTAAACCTGGCTTTCCTGGCACCTCCCAGGGAGGGGGAGCTTAGCAAACTACTTTCTTGCAGCCTAAAATACACAGAGGGGGAAAAAAACCCTGACCTTTGGGATAGGAGTGGCTGCAAAAGGCTTATCGCCACCGGGGCAGAGATACCGACCCTCTGCCATAAAGGCTCAGAGGGGGTTTCTGCTTGTTTTTAGTAACACCTGAAGGAAGCAGCAATAATCCCAACAAACTTATCTGGCAGCCAGACCAATCCTCTTTTAGCCAGATTATCACCAAAGCCAGGCAAGTCCCTGCCTGCCAGACGGCCACGCTTACACAAACATTTCCCTCCTGTAGCAGGAGGTATAGCACCAAAGCCAGGCAAGTCCCTGCCTGCCAGACGGCCACGCTTACACAAACATTTCCCTCCCCCTCCTGTAGCAGGAGGTATAGCTGCGGCCGGGAGCTCGCTCGGTCCTCACCCGAAAACCCTTTGGAGGCAACGAGGGAAAAGCAGGAGCCCACCAGCCGTTTAGGCACCCTCCTGGCACAGCCTGTCCCAGGCAAAGCACTGCCACGCACCTGACGTCTTTGCCAACAGTCATGGATGCTATCACCTTCTTCACAGCCTCCTTCTTCTTCTCCTTCTTGTCGCTGTTCAGTTCGGCTTTCAGCTCAAATATCTCCCCTGGAGGAAGGAGAAAAGGGGCAGCTCAGGGGTTAGGGGATGGGGCACCCACCCGCTGGGTGCTGCTCCCAGGGGAGAGCAAGCACAGCTCCCATCACAGGGCTCCTGTGCCATCCCGGCTGCTCAGGGGTGCCGGGAGCTGGAGAGGGGGATTTAACGTCCCAAATGTCTCGCTGAGGGTCAGGGTCACTCTGGGGGCTCAGCTCTCATCCATGGAAATGGAGACGAGAGTGTTGGTGCATCCCTGCAGCTTCTCCAGCCCCAGAAGGCTTTAGGGACAGGAGATGCTGCAGGAGTGATGAGCACGAGCAGCCCAGGACACGGGGTTTATTCGGCCGGTATTTTTGGCTGTGGGGCGGTTATCACAGCACACAGTGAAGCCCCAGCTCCACACACAGCTCTTAGGAGGCCCTCCCCTACCTGCAGAGCCCACCGCAGCCCGGATGACGACCGGTACCCGTGGCAGTGAGCGCA